TTTCAATACCGCAGGAAAACAATAGACGAAGAACACGTCTTCATGGCCAAATCACGGTCGTTAGTAATTCTTTGAGAAAACGCTTGGCAAATGCAGCGTTCGCACCCTTGGGAAAACTATAGAAAAACGTTCAGGAAGACAAGCCATACACCAGCGTTTTTGTGGAGCAGGAAAAAAATCGACAAACATCATGTTTTCATGGCATTCACCATAAGTTATTCTGTGAGAAAACGCTTGGCAAGGGCTGCGTCCTTGTGCCTGGGAAAAATATAGAACAATGTTCAGGAAAACAAGCTATACACTAGTATTCTCGCGGAATAAGAAAACAATCAACAAACATCATCAAAGTTTGTGAATATATGATAGTCATATATTTGAACTGTGGTCAAAGAACGAGTATGAGAGCGATCTTTGCAGTAACGAACACCACTTAAGCAGTTGATTCAGCACTTCACGGGTTTTTTACGAACCAACTCAATGACCAGCCCTCAGTTGGCTTATTAGCCCAATCGGTGGTGCACTGCACCAGTATCGCAAAGGTCATGGGTTCGTAACCCATAGAGGTCAGAATTTTTTACAGCCCTCATTTTCACTACTGCTTCAGCAGTGTTCGTTACTGCGTATCAAACTTTGCCTATTATTTTGGTTAGGATTTTTTTAAGACAATGAAGCTTTTCTCATCTGTCCTTTGGGATTTTTCTCTTCGGTGACGCGAACTTAGACTCGGTTTAACTCGGCTCTAGTTCGCAAATTTTCAATGATGACAGTTTGGTTCCCCACGGGAGCCTACTAGGGAAAACACAGACAGATCAGCAGGGGGGTGAGTTAGTAAATGTCGGTACCTCGAGAGGACGCGTCTGTTACGTTGATTCACAGTACGCGATTCGAATTGTAATCATGGCGTAAGCTAATCGCATGCAATAAAGTCCCAACGTGTAATGCTCCACTCCAGTACACAGCACATAAATAAAATATGCATGAAATATAAAGTTTACGACGTATTTTATCAGTAAAAGTAATTTACTCCAGTCATGTTATTGCGCGCAAGCGTTCTCGGAAAGCTGGGCCGGGAGCGATCTGTTTTCCATTCGCGTTAAATTTGTTGTTTTAAATTTCTTTTTGTTTTGCCCACGCGACGCCGTTTTAAAATAAACAGAGGGCAGGCAAAAAAAACCTGATCCTGAAAAAAAAAGG